CTTATGTCCATTGGTTATGCTTATATGCATGCATACAAGTCCTTCGGTTGATCTCCACCTTAAGTTTTGACTTGACCAAATCATTCTCATAGGGTGATGTTTCTTCATTCTGAAAATATCTAATCTAGGGTTTACACTGTGAGGCACTTATCTAGAGGCTGGGAATAAAGAGTGAACAAACAGACACAACTGTCTGCTCTCATTAATTCCATGACCTGAGCTATTAGCCCCACTGAGCGTCAGTTTTTTCATTCATAAATTGTAAGTAGTTATGATGGAGTGAAGGATATAATGGATGGTGAAGCGGATAGGATTGGTTCCTGAGAGTTCCTCCTCTGCGCCCACCCATTTAACCACATGGCAAGGATATTCTTCTACTCGCACCTGTGGTTTTCTGTCTGAGGACTCTCTCTCAGGCATTGGGTGTGACGGGCCAGAAGCCCTGGGGAACTAAAGCTCCAGAGGGAGCTCTCAAACAGTGATAGATGGCAGTACCCTGACCCCAGGAAAGATAACACTGTCTCCTGAAGATCCCTAGTTCATTGAACCTCAGTTGCCCCACAATGCAGGTTTCATTGGTTTCCCCCTTTCCCTTGCCACTTCTCTCTCCTAATGGTGCTTCCAGGGAACCAGTTCTTGAATCAGCCACCTGCTCTCCAATGTCAGCTTCTGGGGGAAACCACCTGGACAGAGGAGAAAGTGGTTTATGAACTGTGAGGAGCTGAGCACATGTCAGGGACCGTGCCCCTGGGAGGAACCTCAAGGTCATATCTTTGTCAGATTCCAAGTGGAATTACTGTTACATCCTTTTCCCTTCTTCCCTTCAGAATATTTTGAGTGACTTTCATCTCTCTTCATAGATGAATGTTTGAGATGATGCAAGTGACCCATCTGGGGTCCTGAAGCCCAGTTCATCTTGGGAAACCTGCTGGACCTCCAGAGTACGTGGGCCAATTTTCACCTGTAGCTTGGTGAGAACAGGGTATTAGGGGCCCACTCCCTCCTCTGGTATCATCATCTGAAGATCCACGTTTATTGTCTCTCGTGAGAACATTTCTGGCAAAGTGCAGATCTTCTAATGCATCAATATGGCCACAGTCATGGTTATGGCCCACCCCACTCTGAATCCTATGTCTGCCTGAGGTGCCAAGAGAGGACTTAGGTCTTTTGGTGCCATGTTCTCCAAAAATATCCTGGTTTTAATGGATCTGCTGGCATTCCACATATCTAAATCCTCTTGATTTAGTAAAACTTTCAAACTTTTACCCTTACCACCAATACTTCTAGCAAGATACATTTCAGTATTATGCTTTTGACCAGGGGTTGGCAAACTATGGCCAAATCTAAGTGTCCACCTGTTATACAACCTGTGACCTAAGAATGGTTGTTATATTTTTAAATGGTTGAAAAAGTCAAAGAAGAATGATATTTAATGACATGAAAATTCTATACAATTCAAGATATATGAAGAGATGTACATCCAGGTACATGAAACTCAGAGGTCCTGGTCCAGATTTAACTTTAAAAGGACTTCATTTATCACATCATAATGAAATTGTCAAAAATGAAAGACAAAGAGATATGAAAGGAGCAAGAGAATGACTGATCTCAGACAAGGGGACTCCCACAAAGCTATGGACAAATTTCAGCAGAAACATCACCATTCAGGAGAGAGTAGATGATATATTCAAAGTGCTGAGAGAGAAAAACAAAAACAAAAACAGCTGATAGCTAAGAATCAGCAGAGGTTCAGAAATGAAAGAGCTATAAAGGTATTCCCAGATAAACAAAAGTGGAGGGAGTTCATTGCCACTAGAACAGGCTTCCAAGAAATGCAGAAAGGAGTTCTCCAAGCTGAACTAAAGGATTTTAATTGGTAACATGAAAACATATGAAAGTATATATCTCACTTGTAATGGTAAATATATAGTCAGATTCAGAATATGCTATACAGTAATGATGGTATGTAACTAATTCTAGTAAAGTGATGAAAAGACCAAAGTATTGGCTAAGCTGTGGGAGTGGGGTGGGCATGGGGTGGTCAGACTGTAGTAAATCCTGGGAGCTGGTGCAGGGGGGCATGAAGGCACTGATGCAGGACAGTATGTTGACCTTGGAAAGTCTTTGGGGTATGCAGTGGGTCATTGGCTGATGATCAGGCATTTGACTTTAACTTTTAGCTTTGTAACAGCTTAAGGGACCGCATGAGGACATATGTGCCAACGGTTCAGAGTTTATATGCTTCTTTCTACAAGTGATTTCCCAGATCACAGTTCTCTGCTGAAATTTGAGTGGGATTTGAGAATTTGGGGAACACCTGCAGCTTTGTAACTTCAGAGGTGTAATCAGTTAAAAATTCACCTTTTGTGGAGTTGTGTTTTGTCAGTCATCCCTCCTAACTGAGCCCCAAGAAGGACTCCATGAAAGAT